AATTATGGTATATTATGTAAAGTATTATGTAATTTAAATAAAGTCTCTCATACATTTTAATACTGTCTTGTATGTTTGTTTTTGTGAGAGTGAATCCTGAAAAATATGCAAATTAGTATGCAAATTAGCATGCAAATTAGCATGCAAATTAGACCGCCATGCTTGCTTCTGAGCCTGGGGAGAACACTGAATTAGGTAATTAATATTCATAGATTTTTACCCAAAACTAATCAAATCTGCGCATTAGTTCAGAGCATCCATGTGCCAGGTTTCATTGAAATCCAATGAGTGGTTCTTCAAAAATCAGTGAAACAGTCATAGAACAGCTTAAAATCAGTTAATTATCATGCAAATTAGGTAATTAATATTCATAGATTTTTACCCAAACTAATCAAATCTGCGTATTGGTTCAGAGCATCCATGTGCCAAGTTTCATCAAAATCCAATGAGTGGTTCTTCAAATATCAGTGGAACAGTCATGGAACAGCTTGAAAATTTGATTAGTGGTTCTTGAGATAACGATGGAACAAAAAAGTGACATACATACATACATACATACATACATACATACATACATGCAGACATGCAGACATACAGACATACAGACAGGGTAACTGCAAAGACTCCCTTTTATGCTTCACACACGGGAGTCAAAAATCATGTATGAAATTATGCGACATAAAACTTGAAAGTTGAACAATTAAAAAATGGTAAATTTGCATGACAATACGATGTAACTTATGTGAATAGGCTGTAACACATTTATCGTATTTTAGCTGCCATGTATCCAGTATATTCAAAATACCTAAATGATAACACCAGTGAATGGTCTCAAGACTCGTGACTTTCTCAGCTAAACAGGATAATACTCTGACATGCATATGCCATGTAAAGAAACAACAACAAAAGCAAGATATTGTTTTCAGCCATGTTCTTTTCATACCAAGTAATTGTGGACACTTTTCTGTACGGCTATGAATGAACTAGATTTGTTCAGCTCCGATCGTGTAGACACATTGGAGATAATCTTCGTTAACTTGTGGGAGGAAGCAGTAGTTCAGTTCAAAACAAACAATTCCCTAATTTGCTTACCCTTCCTAGGAACTCAAACAAAGCCTTGTAATATTTGTCATCTTGTGGTTGGGTTGGTGGTGCTACTGGAGGTGGCAGCAGAGGTGGTTGTGGCTGCTGTGGTGAGAGTTCCCGCGGACACTGAGAAATAAAGGCATGAACATTTAGAGTAACCACTCCCATGACAGTGTGATAATAACAGCACAATAATAACAACATAGTTTGTAAAATTGTTCTGTTAAACCACTTTAATTCGCAAGAGACAAATATTCACAACTTTTGGGGTCCTACAAGATGGAGTGTCAGTTACCTTTGCAAAATGTTGTCTCCATGAAAGCAATAACTTGAATAAGTAAATATTTCTAGTATAATAACACTAGTAGGTGTATTCTCGCTATAGTCAGTGTTCTCCACAAGTGGTTTTAGGTGGGGGGCCCAACATCAAGTTTTATGGCTGCCTAGTTACTGTCAACAGCCGCCCATCAACTTACATTTAGTTGCCCAACCCTTTATTTTGCTTTTATGTGTTGTAGCTGACAGGTACATGTGTGAATGTATCGTACCCTCAGTCCATCAATACAGTATTGATGGACTGCACTGATGCTACAAATAACAAAATCAAAGAAAGCTTAGAAAGAACTCCCATGTGCTGAGAGTATTGGAGACATTAAATATAATTTGAAATTACTTAGCTGAAAACTAATTATGCAAATCAGAAAATTAACATGAACAGATTTGATTGTAAAACTAATGAGGTCTGCGCAATGTAACAAAAACTCTATGTACCAAGTTTAATTGAAATGTGATTAGAACCAAAAAATTATGAATTATTATGCTAATTAGGGAAATAATATGAACAGAGTTTTACCCCAAACTAATTAGGTTTGTACATTGTCCTAGAGCATCTTTGTACTAAGTTTCATTAAAATGGAAATTAGTACTTTAGATATCAGTGTGAAAGCTTAAAATTGGTTAATTATGCAAATTGGGTAATTAATATGAT